AGATTTGTCTTGACTATTCATTTCTGCTAGATTGTCTGTTCTCCGCGGTCATTCCATGAGGCTGGCCAAACCACGGTCCAATGTGATTGGAGCGGGAATTCGGCTGTCACGCCTAGTCATCGGGTGCTTGGACATCCTTCCGGAAATTGTTATCAGAGAATCTACGGTCAACGAGTTTGAGCATTAACTTGACGTTCTTGCGTAGCATTACGTAATCTTTCCCTTTTCTCGACTAACTCGCACCTTCATGTTTCGATTTTGTTTTCTCTACTTTCTATCACGTGTTATCTTGTTATTTCAAGTGAATTTCCAATCCTTCGCTTACTTCACTGTCTGCTACAGCAGGTACTGCTAGTGCAGGAAACGTGGGCATTACTTGGTTGACAACGGTGTCATACGGGTGTTTCGTTTTAACTGATTCACGGGGAATGCTTGTCTTCATCGATCCAAAAATTCTTGTTTATTAGACTGACTCAAGGGAGGCAGAATTTGAGTAAAGAATTCTTTTCGGTATTTCTCATTGGACTCAAACAATACATGATGACGACAAAGTGCTAAATGTGCCGCATTGGGCTGCGTATTGATCGGAATGTTTAATTCCAACAGGAACAAACCAATAAATCACGGGATCATGAAGAGTGGCAAATTATTTACAGGGAAAATCACAGCAGAAGTTGTAGGCCACGGGAGAAGTAAAGGAGGTACAAACTGTTTTTGAAAGCACAATTCTGGCTTGGGGTGGCGAATATAGCTTCCGCAATAGACAGGAGATGCTTCCGGATCACCATTGAGACTCTTTCTAGCAAATATCTTTATTCAGCATCTGCTCGATTGTACCTTGTGCGGAAACCCACGTGACGCATTCAAGGTTATCAGCAGACAAAACAACGCGAGCTTGCTTCGTTTCGCTGAGGCCTCGGCCATCAGACGAACTAAACCGAACCTTTGCAAACAGATAGACTTTGTGGCCAGTCTTGCCTTGCCTTGGTAAGACGCAGGCATTGACCTTGGTTTGCTCAGTGTTTTATTGATTTTCCTATTGACCCCCTTTTTCATTTGCATTCTTTACTTTTTCCACGATTTGTCTGTAAGCGGTTGAATGAGAAGACACGAAATAATTTGAATTCAGGTTATCCCGCAGAAATGCTGTTAGTTCTTGCTCTCTTAAAATTTCTGAAGGGAAATGGCTGCATGAAATGTATTTATGGCAAAATTGGAGCATGATGTATTAAGAACGCACATCAACGAAGTCGAGATGTAAATACGTTATGTGGACGACACATTTATACTCCGCAAATCGAAAGCGTTTACTGTGAAACTGTTGGAAGCGTTTAATGATGCGCATCATGATTTATAATTCACATGTGAGCACGAGTCCGGAAACCGACTACTGTTCCTGGACGTTGATATCATCAGAAACACCGGTGGATCCTGCAGCAGAGCAGTGTATAGGAAACCGACTTGGACTGGACAGTACACCAAATTCCACAGTACAAACGAAATATAGTCCGCACTCTTGCTTTCCGGGCACACAGAATTTGCACGCCGGATACAATCACCAGATAATTGCAGAGGATCGGTGACGCTCTAAGAACGAATGGGTATCCAGCTAAATTTATCCTCAAACGTTTGAAACAGTGCAGGATAAAACCACCGAGGATGAACGTACCCAAGAAAGAACTAATTGCGCCTTTTCCTTTCAAAGGCGACAGTGCGGCTGATGCCCTGTCTAAACGCCTGAAAGACGCTGTTGAAAAGACTTATTTCGCGGTTCGCCTACGCATAGTATTTTACAACAGGCCGTCATTCGCAAAACGTTTGGAAGTTAGGCTGCCTCCGGGAACTCGATCAATGCTTGTTTATCTTTACTCGTAATCCTTTGATGCGCAATACGTGGGTCGTTCTAAAAGGCACCTATCTCATTTGATTCGCGAACACGTCCTGAGGTGGTTTTACAATGGTGTAACAATGTCTATTGACAGCTCTATCCTGTCGCACCTTCTAGAGTGCGGTCACGCAGGAACGGAAAACGATTTGAGTCCTCTAGACTATCCCTGAACACTTCTCGCGCGGATTCCGGAAACAGATTCTGTCTGTTGCGGAGGCTATCTATATTCGCCACCTCAAGCCAGAATTGTGCTTTCAAAAACAGTTTGTACCTCCTTTACTTCTCCCGTGGCCTACAACTTCTGCTGTGATTTTCCCCGTAAATAATTTGCCACCCTCAAGGACCCTGTGATTTGTTGATTTGTTCCTGTTGGAATTAAACATTCTGATCAATACGCAGCCCAATGAGGCACATTTAGCACTTTGTCGTCATCATGTAATGTTTGAGTCCAATGGGAGTTACCGAAAAGGTTTCTTTACTCAGGTTCTGTCTATCCTGAATCTTTCTAATAAATATTTCGTTTTAACTTCAACCACACCTCTGAACACCACAGTTTCTGGCTCAACGAATTGCTCTTGACGGAACACTCACGGGATTCTCCTATCGTTCCAGTCCTATTGGATTTCAACTTCATATTTCCGGTTTACTCCGCGCCAATTTGCAGCTCCTGTTAATATGTTGCTCATGGAGGTGACCATGGTGCTTCGCGTCACGTCCAAGAGCAATTTCCCACCGGTAGTTGAAGAATGGACTACCTGAATACTGACATCAGACACTGGAACATAAGTGCAGAATATTCCAGTTCGGCGCTGGACATTATCATTTTACTGACCGAGTCCGTTGTTAATTTTTATAGCCACACGTCGCTGCTCTCGTTGAACGCTAGAGTACGCTGGGTTTCCTATCTTTAAATCCTGTATATTTCTTCCACGTTATGGTGTCTGAGATCAATCTCCCCCTAGTTCGATCTCATTACTGAATGCAGTGGGGGATAAGCCGTTTTCGTTTGTCTCAGAGGTGCGTAGGATGCCTAGTGAACGATCCAAATATTGGAAGAGTTAAGTATCCGTTCCGTCAGAAAGATCATATCATCGATGCCGAGATGTGTGAAATATCTGTACACGACATCTCTGATCCAGATGTCTGAGTAATGAAGTAAGGCTGGTCCGCTCCGCAGCAGCTACGTTGAAACGGTTTCTCGCTCATGTGAAACGGTGACGCAGTGCAAATTCCTCTATCCCGTGTTGTTTGAGCTTGATAGCACTGCAACAACAGTCGACCGAGACAAGGCCCCTGTACTTGCTGATTAGTTTGCAAGGTCATTTGTTTGCTGTTCTCTTACTGGTTATAGACAGAGGCAAATATACTAGTGGATTCCTTCCCGATAGATAGTTCCATCACTGAAGCTAGGTAGTCATACTACTGCGTGAACTAAATCCCACCAAGACTGCCGGATTGGACGCTATCCATCCGTAACGTTTGTACGAGGCGGCCGATGTTCTGTGCGAACCGGTCATGTGTCTTTGCGAGATTTCTTCATTGCTGCTCTCCACCTGCAGATGTAAGCGAGACTATCACACACACTATCTTCACAATGGTTGTTAAGCACCTCCCTAAGAACAAATAAATAAATGTTTTATTCCCTGCAAAGCAAGGCACGCTTGCGAAGGCATGCTAATGATAATACAAACACGTATGGTCGGTAATTGTACGAAAATATAGCAAGTTAACCAATAAGGTAATGGATTGTTGTGTATGTATGTATGTAGGTGTATGTGTGAGTGGATATGGCGGGTGAACTTGTGAAGTGTGTGTTCGCCATCTTACGAATGGATCGAGGGAACTCTTCGAACTGGATGACTTACGTGAAGTGGGGGAAAATCCTCTGGAAGGGGATGGCCTAACGAACGTATTGATTAGTTTAGTGGGAAAGCTGGTTAGAGATGTTCACGAAAATCACTTGGCTAATTCCAGCTTGCTTACTCTGTCTCAGCATAGGTTCCGCAGACGTTGATTTTATTTGACTTACTTCTTAGTAGACCGACAATACTGGCGTGAGGCTGTAGATCTAGGAGAGGCGGGAAACGTCCTGTTTATTGACCTTTCTAATCCTTTTACACCATCATACACTGTCGCCTTCTGTTAAAACTGATATCCCAGGGTGTTCCCGGCCAAGTTTTGGATTGGACTTCGCTGTTCACTGAGGGAAAGGACATAATCGTTCAAGTGCGTTCCGAGCTGTCTCTCTGACAAGCCGTTCTGAGGGATGTTCCACTGTTGTGTCCCCAGACGTTCGACTTCTTAGATTGCGCCCCACGAGTCAAAAAGACAACGCACCGGACAGGAGGTATATTTGCGGAACACTACACGGGCCGGCGTGGGTATGAAAACACTCTAAGTCCAGTTCCAATCACAGCTGAGGGCTAATTTGAATTTATCGATCTCAACGAACCACGGGTCGTGTGAGGGGTATGTAACAAGCGGTAGTAACAAATGTTCTGCAACATGGAAAAACACTAGTCTGCTTGTAACTAAGACTGTTCTAATGCAAGGCACACGGTTCCTTGTGGGAAATCGCGCACTTAGCTTTCCGAACAAGTCAGTTTGTTTCGTTTCTGTGCGCATTTGACTTTGGTCTGTGTGAAATTCTGTTTTTCCATCCAAGTTACAAGATTTGGCCTGAATCAGTGGCGCCAACTCGACTTGATTTTCAGACAACGCGATTTTCCTTGGAGCAGGCCGTTCGAGACCTAACATCCACATGGGTCGGTCGTCTGCTGTTCGCATTGTATGTTGACGATCTCCCTGAGGGGCTCACCATATCACCAATAGCGAATGACTTAAAGTTTTGCAATGCAATGGACGGTTCTAGTGGTCCCTTGGGTTTGCAATTGGCTCTTGGCAAACTTTGGGAGTGCTCTGATTTGACATCTGTCAATAAATCTCGCCAAGTGTTCGATCTTTCGTACATGATCAGTTATGCATTCAACTCATTATCTACATGGCGTAAGTGCAGCATCGCAGCTGACCCACCAATTCGACATTGGCATCTCGCTATCATGAGTTACAATCCAGCGAGAACTAAGCGACAGCTGCTTGCAAGGCTTTCCGAATGCTGTGTATGATCAGCAAGTCGTTCGGGATCACGACAAATAAAACGTTTGTTATTCTGTTCTTCTTTGTTAGACTATATATGGAATACTGTGTGCAGGCCGGTCTTTCATGCTTGGTCTGCGGCAAATTGATTCTCAGGTGTGTTCTCCGGATTGGCGTAAAATTGGTGTACGGGTTAATGCATCTGTTTCAAGTTGCAGATGTTCTCGCTATGCCGTATATATATATATATATATATATATATATATATATATATATATATATATATATATATATATGCCCCATGCTGAGGCTGGTGTTGCATTCATGATGCTTCTTCACCGCAGTCGGGCTAAATTTACACTTAAACTAAGTCTCTTTTTAAGCTGGATAAATTTCACTCCACTTCATTTGATTTGTTCTGCCTACCGGAATAATCTTCTATTAAATTTCCACATTGCTTACGGTAATTGTGCTTATCTTCGTTAACTTTTTACGTTTGTAGCATTTTCTGAGTCACTTCTGGACATTTTTTACTTATCGCGGATTCGTTGCTAACCAACATACTTCAAATGCTAATTTAGGAAAGAGTTATGTTTACATAGCCGTATTCTTTAACAAATATATTTTATTCGTTACTGTTATTTCAAGTGATTGGCTGTTGTTTGACATCCCCGGTGCGGATGCGCTTGATGTGCATGTTGACAAGGTGTCTACCTGTCTATTACCCACTACCTCGTCCATACTGTCTCTAGGAGATAGTTGGTCGTTGCTGGAGGGGACGGGGTGCACGGTCCTTGTGGCCGTGCTAGGCTCGAAACGTGGTTCCATGCACTCAGTGTGGAGCGGACTACGGTCCAGCCACCGCCTTGTGTGCGATTGATTCCCAAATACAGCGTGCTTGTGTTTGCCTGTGAAGGAGTATGGGCCGACTCCGTTGATGTAACGTGGCTCCCATCCGCATGCCTCCCGGTCTTATTCCTTCGTGTTTACACTGGATATGTTGTATGTAGTTGGAGCTGTGGGTGGTGCAGCGCAAGCCACCCATGGTCGCTCTGTAGGTGCAGGCGTTTTGGGTCTGGCCACAGTGACAGGCAAATCCGAAACCGGATGCCGCCAGCCATATATATCCCACTTTCTCATTTACCTGCTCACCACCGTTATTTATACGGATTGTGTGACAGTGGTGCGCCAGGGCTGAGTACTTATATCCTGTAGTTGCTTTTCCTATCGCCGTTTATCACGGTACTGATCAAGTAGGCGCGAATTAATCGTGGGTTCTTCGTACCCTCTAAGCTACGGGCATTCAGAAGAAGTCGATGGGAGAAGTATTTTATCGTTTAAATAAGTAGACTATTACTTGCCCGTCGACTGACTCGGTTGATCGCATGCGGAGGCTCACGGTTGATTGCTTATGCTTCTGTTAAGTTTACTTCACCTATATCGGGGCATAAGCTCTTTGACCATGTGTTCGAATATCTTGGACGCATATTAGTAGTCTGATAAAGGTCTCTGGTTAGCCTTATCAGCCTAAAGCGGCTATTCTCCGTTCTAGTTTGTAGGACGTCTTGCATTTACACTCTTTTGATTGCTACGCTCTATTCCTGAATTTTGTACTAGCTTGTGGTCACATGCGTCAGAGGACAAATTGAGTTGCTTTTGTGTACTTGAATTACTCATATAATCTGGTTTTTCTTTGCCAGGATGCCGCGGCAGAGTTCAGAGATGAGGCAGCCTTCGGGTCTCTGTATTCTGAGACCGAAGCCCGAGCCAACAGACACATATTCGTCAGCAGCATTTCCAAACGGGGGAACGATCAATGCCTTCCCGAGTCTTCAAAAGAATGACGAATTAGATTCCAAGGCTCAGTACACTTCCGAGCTGTTGTTGAAGACTGAACAAGAGGCTTCTATGAGCCCTTCGGACGAACGTTGCAGATTTGCGATTGGGACAGTCACACCACCCTGCGTTGGACAGCAAGGTATCCTTCAACAGTAGACACACATACGTAATTATACCACAGTTTCACCCCTTGCCAATTGTCATACTATTTGTAGCTTGCCCCTGCATCTATGCATGAATGCAGTAGAACGGAGAACTGCAGCCAGACGAGTAGAGTTCAACGGTGCGAGTTTCTGCCTTTATAACGAGTGTTCCCAGTTAGGCATGCTCGTGGTTCTAGAGTCGAATAAAACTTTAGCTCCAGTTACTGTTGTGGAACTTGGCGGACTAAACTCGGGAGTGCCACAACAGTGCATGAGCCGATGAAGCGGGCAGAAATATCCACACCGAGCATGCAAGTCTTGATAGGGGTTCAACGAAGGTGCACGTAACGGGAGGTTATTAGAAGCACACTCGGGAGTTAATGAAAATGTGCGCGTGGGATGGCACCGTCCTTTGGTTCACCAAATGTATTTCTAGGTCTTCAACTTCGGATATGGCATAGGGACCTAGGTCCATAGAGAGCGGTCGTGGCTGGACATTGTATGGGGCGTGTGACGCCGTGACTAAACAAGCTAACCACGTAACAGCGGGAATTGTCCGGATGTAGTGTAAACGTTAATTGCATATTTAGCAATCGGGATGATGAGACATAGGTTACAAGGCTCGGCGATTTATTGGGCTAACCAAGCTACTGCTTTTCTTATCTTCTAAGTCACTTATACCGGTTTCGTCAATGATTGGGAGCCGGACAAACGCAGTCCCTGGCCCTACAGGTTGGGGACTGGGATGAGGATGGCTCCTTATTACGTAAAACGGACTCTGTAGCTGTCCCAAAGACCCGGTGTGTTGCGGTTAGATTTTTTGAGTCAAAGGCTTTAGATGAGAACCCTAATTATACTCCGGGTAAGCTGACATTATCTTGCCCTTGCAGTGCAATGTATTTCTGTTCAAACAATTCACTGATGCCCTTGCCGTCGCAGAGGATAACTGCGGGCGCTATATCTGCTGCACCGAGCTGGTTGGCTAGGAGTGAGGGTGCTACTGCTCATGCCATCCCGTCTTCTTATTCCTCCCTCTTACGCTCTTTCATCCTAACCGTTTGTTTCACGTTCATTTGTCTGTCCGCAGCCTTAAGCATCACAAGCCTGTTTTGAAATCTAATGGCGCAGAATCGAGCTTGCACTTGGGCCTGTGCGACTATCTTTGTATCCTTAGCCCGCGCTCGACTTGTGTTCGTTGCGCGGCAGCGAAGCATCGGTATTCGTATTGGCATACTGCTGATGCCCATTCTTTCTACCTTTAACTTTTATCCCACTATTTCCAACCTCGCAATTCCTCCCGCCCCTCCGTCTTCCCTTAATAAGCGTTTGTCTTTTATTTTCAACTCACTCGCTATGCTTAGCCACACTCCACTCAACAAGTCTATGTTCAACCAAGCGGTCAATCTCAGTTCATCCACTTCTGTTTGAAGCCCTTGATCCTCCCTATGGTTGGCATGCCTCAATGTGCACATCTTGTTTCACTAGAGACCCTATCGATCACAACCTACTGCTTATCTGAAACTCACCTGTAAGCTTATAGCTCTGTGCTTACCCCACGTTTCCCCAACTGCGACACTGGTGGAACTTTTACTCTGCGCTTGTCCGAAAATGACGCAGCTTTAAATTTTGGTCAAGGCGGTGTGGCCATTGCTTTGAGTGTCGAGGCTGAAGTAGTCCTGATCGATTGGATGCCTGTGAACAGCCGGAGGAGTCGTCTCCGAAGACGAGTCGCCCTGTCAACTGGATGTAACGGTCTCAAAAGCAGTGCTTATGCTGATTTTCAGCATTGCCTCTTTTCCTTCTCTTGATTTTGTTCATTCAAGCTGTTGTCGCTACATTCACTGTTATCGTTTGAAAATCTATGTTACCTATGAGTGTCCGTTTGTGTATAGCCGACGTTCGGAGACTTGGGGGCACTGCTCAGTTACCATTAGATCCATCAGTAAGGCTGGCTACACACGCGGTTTAGTGAGTTTCGTTTGCACTTGGCTAGTTTAGGTACCGATCAAATTTTTACAGTTGTATATGGTTTTTATGGCGTGACCTGAGGGACAAGGTTACCTTGACTGAAATGATCACATTCACCGTCGTTGTATGAGCTATCCTTGTAGTGCCAGCTTACGCTGCTTGCTTTTGTTTCGGTTCTTTTGGAGTCGCTATATTGAATGTTCTTGTCCATCGCATTTTGATATGGTTCCCTAAATTATGCGACATAATAGCTTAAATGTTTTCCCCCTATGGCTAACGTGTACTGGATGAATGAACCTGAATGATGCCCTCAGATTATTCACAAAGTACGTCTGTGAGTTAACGGTTGATTCACCATCGGACTCAAGGTCGCTTGCCCCCCACAAGAGAGAGGGAAGACCGGATCGAACGAGCAGAAGATCAGGGATGTATTAGCCAACCATACCATGTAATCGAAAGTTCGTGAATGGTATTTAAAACTCACGTGAAAAACTCCAGCAGTTTATTCACGAGGTACACCTGCCGTAATCAAGCTTCAGAGATTGGAACTGCTTTCCCATGAGCGTATCAAATTTCATTCGCCGAAACTTATGGAATGAGTGTCTCCTCTGAAGACGTGCAAAAATCCGGTCAAGCGGCATGGTGGAACGCCAGTGATTATCCATGTCATGTTGCCAACCCGATGATTTTACCCCGAAGTGACGAGATAGACTTCAGACGCCGGTAGCCTAATTGCTCACAGGCGACGCTTCAGTGCTCACACGCTACTCTGGCTCTGGGTGGGATGGAGAACGCTTTTATTTCTACCGTCAAATTCTCACAGTGACAACATTGGTCTGCAGGAAATGGGATGCGGCGAATGCTGTGGATGTACCTTTGCAGTACAAACGGAACTTAATTTTTTGCATGCATTATCGTGCTAACAAGATTTGTAGTGCAGTGTCGTTGGGAATTTGGACAGCCGCACCCTGAAATCTCTACAGGATAATGGTTAGCCCAACCGTTTCTTCGGTGGCACTCCGTCCTCGTTGGCGGACGAGAATTTATCATGACAGTGTCAAGAAAGAACCTTTTTCAGTCCCTTTTGGGAGAGATACCCTCTTTGAATTACCGAATCTTTCCGAGCATGTTGTTGTCGAATCTGGCCCGTTTATTACTCAGCTTTCCTGGATTGACTCTCGGTCCACCTCGAATCGTGTATCAATTCACTTATAACTGTGGGGGTTTGAGCTACCTCGGGCACACGACTGGACGATTGACGAAACGCGTAGCACAACATTACTCATCCGCGTTGTGGACATGTACTGTTAGAAATATCACCAACTCTATTTTGGAACACCAAGTTCAATTCGTGACCACATACACTTTCAACCCATTCTAGGTCGTGCCAAAGCGCGACTCGAAAATACCTACGATCAAGCTGATGCATCTCGAATTGTGCGGACTGTGAGCACTGGTGCATTTTGCTCTCCTAATATGTTCCTAAGTCGGGCTGGTGCGATCCCTCCTCCTGCCATGTCCCTAATTTTGGCGTGAGCACCGTACACCTCGATCATAGGCGGTGACTCTTTTTATCCCGTCATCCCCGTCGGCCGAACTAACCGTTGTGTATTGTGTGCGCGTGTGGTTGTGCGTGTGTACGCGACTGTCACCATCGATTGCAGTTGGGCTGGCGAACACTGCAGTCTGTTGAGAGTCAATCAACACTACTGTTGTTTTGTAAGTCCAATGTAGTGTTTCAACCAGTGTTTTGTATATAATAGCTTGCTGAGATCTATTGAAGCGAAATTTTTCGCTGAATTGGGATAACCAAGGCTGTTACCAGAGGCTATAACCAAGTTGGAGGATAATGGCTTTTCTCTGTCGAATGTCGTTTTAATCCTTGTAGATCACAGGGGGCACCGGTTCTTTGTCACATAGTAGCTTACCTATGCGGCTTGGAATGTAATTGCGATGAACCAAATCGAAACTGCGAAGTAGTTTAGTTAACCGTTTGGCCGCTCAACAACATTGTAGCGATGGCGACCTCCGTGTGTCACGTTCAACTGATGTTTTTGAGCCTTTGGCCAGCGATTGGTGCTGTTTGATGACGGATGTACAGAGTGTCTAATTAGCATTTCTGTGTGGATCGAAGTTGGTGACATACTCAGAATAGATCACCGGAATGATTTGAGGGATGAGAAAAGTAGGTAATTGAACGCGACTAGAGCAGATATGTTATTGGTCACGTCATCAGCGGGGTTCTCTTGCTGGTAACCTTCCATGAAGACCTCGTTCTTCCTTATCCTCTGGGATCATTGGGACAAAGCAAGAAGTTAGCACCTCTACCTCCTTCGTAATAACCGCATCAAGTTGATGTTGCCAGACGATTGCTCACAGATTATTTTTTCATTTATCTCCCTCACTGTGAGATAACTAGAATTTAACAGTCAAAGATCCTCACTGCGATTCCTTCATCATCATTACAACCTTTGTGTACCTCGATACATGTGCTTCATTCTAACAGGTTTTCCACCGCTTTCCTCTTGCAGTTAGTCTGAGTATTCACCTTTTGCTTGCCCTTCCAGAAGAACGCCCCCATGCGTGTGACCACTGTGGTAAATCGTTTCGCAGGAGGGACCATTTGCAACAGCACATCGATTCTGTTCATTTGAGTGAGTGTTTAACCGAAGGTACCACCCGCGTCGTATCCTCGTCCATGATTTTATTTGATTTCATCCGGATCAACTTTGCCTTGTTTTCACACTGAAGCTAACCGTTATTGTGCAAATGCTTTCCATTTCTCATGTTAGCTAGTTTGCATTGGACCGAATGAATACTGAATACTGTATTTTGGAGCAAGTAGAAAATAATTCTGTACAACTCCATCGGGTGATAATCAAAAAAAACTTTAAAAAAAATAAACACGTCCGGTGGTTATCCTGAGATGGTTCAGCAACTCCTTCTGTAGCACACAAAATGCTTGTTTACACAGTGAGTCACAAGTGGGTGATATCGTTGTCAAGTGGCAACCGTTCTCTGAAACGTA